ATCATGAGGACCAGGCAGAGCTACAAAGGGATCTGGAGAGGCTACAGGCCTGGTCCAGCAACTGGCTCCTGGAGTTTAACCCTACCAAGTGCAAAGTCATGAACATTGGGGAAGGGCAAAGAAGACCACAGATGGAGTACAGTCTAGGGGGCCAGAGACTACAAACCTCACTCAATAAAGGATCTTGGGGTGAATATAACACTGGGTACACCTGGAAATATAAACACATATGCAGTATAATGTGATCCTTTATTGACAACGTTTCACCCACACAGTGGGCTTTGTCAATAAAGGATCACATTATACTGCATATGTGTTTATATTTCCACTGTGTCGGTATTTGATACCATTTATTTCCACCGGGTACACCTCCTGAGGCGCACATCAACCAAATAACTGCTGCAGCATATGGGCGCCTAGCAAACCTAAGAATAGTATTCCGACATCTCAATAAGGAATCGTTCAGGGCCCTATACACCATGTACGTTAGGCCTATATTGGAGTATGCAGCACCAGTTTGGAACCCACACCTAGCCAAGCACGTAAGAAAACTAGAAAAATGCAAAGGTTTACAACAAAACTAGTCCTGGAGCTAAGGGGCATGTCCTAAGAGAAGTTAAGGGAAATCGACCTGATGATGCTGGAGGACAGGAGAGATAGGGGTATGTGATAATGACATATAAAATACTAAGACGAATCGACAAGGTGGACAGAGGCAGGATGTTCCAGAGATGGGACACAGTAACAAGGGGCCACAGTTGGAAGTTAAAGACTCGGATAAATCACAGGGATGTTTTGAAGTATTTCTTCAGTCACAGAGTTGTCAGGAAGTGGAATAGTCTGGGAAGTGAGTTAGAGGAGGCAGGATCCATACATAGCTTTAAGAAGAGGTATGATAAAGCTCAAAGAGCAGGAAGAGTGACCTAGTAGCAACCAGTGAAGAGGCAGGGCCTGGAGCAGTGACTTGACTTCTTTGGGTTTTCTTCTGTTTTCTTACTAGTTTTTGTTCTTGTTTATTTCCATTTATCCCCATGGGAAATTAGAACCAAATTCTTCCTCTGTAAGCCAGGTGTGTCATCAGAGGCAACTAAAATGCCAGGAGCAAGAGGCAGTAACCCCTTTTCCTGTATATATTACTAAATTTAAAAAAAGAAACTTTCATTTTTCTTTTTGGGCCACTCTGTCTCGGTGGGATACAGCCGGTTTGTTGAAAGAAAGATATACATGGGACCCTCGGCTAACGAAAGCATTGTCTAACAATAAATCCGCCCAACGAAGCATTTGAGCGTAAAAATTTTGGCCTGGCCAATGATGAAAAACTTGACCAACATGATTCATCCCGAACCTGTCCGTCCAGTCTGAGTGCCTCAGCTGCCCTGCGTTACTGTTTACAAGCCAGGGTGGCCGGTTCCATGCATACATTCGTATGCATGGAATTATGTATTATTCCATTGTTTTGAGTGCTTGTAACTGCTAAATAAGCCACCATGGGCCCAAAGAAAGCTTCTAGTGCCAACCTTGTGGTAAAAAGGGTGAGAAATACTATCAAAATACTATCGTACCACGGTCAGCTGTTGCTGCACCACCGTCAGCTGTACTACTCGAAGATGTGGAGAGACTGTTGTTGGTGTGGCTTAATGAGAAATAATTGCCGAGAAACTTAACCCCAGAGGGTTAGCCACCCAAGATAACCCAAGAAAGTCAGTGAGTCATCGAGGACTGTCTAACTTATTTCCAGTGGGGTCCTTAATCTTGTCCCCCAGGATGCGACCCACACTAGTTGACTAACACCCAGGTGAACAGGAAAAAATACCTAGAACTAGTGCTCATATTGGTGAATTTAAGGCCAGCAAAGGTTGGTTTGAGAGATTTAATAAAAGAATCGCAGTGGCATATACAGTATGATGAGGCCTGTTCTGGAAGAAAATGCCAAACAGGACCTACATTACACAGGAGGAAAAGGCACTCCCAAGACACAAGCCTATGAAAGACAGGCTAACTTTCTTATTTTGTTGTAATGCTAGTGAGGATTGCAAAGTGAAGCCTTTACTCATGTATCACTCTGAAAATCCCAGAGTGTTCAAGAAAAACAGTGTCTCATCACTCATCAGTATTCTTCAATAAAGGTAAGTGTCATTTTAATATTTATTTATATAGTTATTGTGCATGTCTCATTTTCTTTGTAGGGAAATGTATATTTCATGAAAAAAATTATTTTTTTTTTAATACTTTTGGCTGTCTAAAACAGATTAATTGGATTTCCATTAATTCTTATGGGGAAAATTAATTTGGCTAACGATAATTTCGTCTAATGATGAGCTCTCTGGAATGGATTAATATCGTTAGCCGAGGGTACACTGTACACTATACAAAACAACAGGGGGAGCTGACCAATAGCTCTAGGCCTTTCAAAAGGGGTCTTCAACCCCTTTTGATTAACTTTGCAGTTTACTAATTACTAAGAACATTGATCTGTTAAAACATGGAAGGAAAAGGTTATTTACTGCAGTGAGAAAGGCCAAACTAAAGTTCTTCAACATGGTACCACTTGAGTGGCAAGATCACTTATTAGATTACAAATATAAGGGATTGAGAATGGTGAAATGGAAAACTAAATGTTTACACATCAGAAAATAAAACAGCTTCATAGAACTAAGTGGATGGCCCCAACATGTTAACAAAGACTTCGCTATTAATCTATTGAGTGCTGAGCTTACCCAAAACCAACTGACAGCTCTAGGATATGGGTTAAGTTTCGCACCTATTAGTGGGAGCACTAATTATGTTGACCTTACCAAGTCTTTTTGCAATCTGGAAAAACAAAGGGACCTATCCCCAGAAATGTTCAACAACTGCAAAGGCATGATATATGAGGCTTTGCTCAGACCAGTAGAACTGAATTGTCCTCAAAGATTTGTTAAGTCATATCATGAATTAAGGAAAGATCCTAGACTTCACCTAATAAATGCCGACAAAGCAAATGTGATAGTAATTATGGACAAGGTAGATTATAGTGGAAAAATGAACATGTTATTAGAATACAGGGAAACTTACACACCCCTTAATAAGAACTCTCTGGACCAGGTTAACATTAAGTTTAATAAGCAACTTATAACCTTACTGAGAGGTAATGAGAAACTGATTAAACAGTTATCAGCTAGGTCGATGGCACTCCCTTATATGTACAATTTGATGAAAACACACATGCTCGGTTTTCCACAGAAACCTATCATTAGCTCGGTGGGGTTGGCGATGTATGTCCTGTCAAAATGGCTGGTAAAAATATTAACTCCAATGCTTGGCAACATCTCTGAAGCCCAAGTAAAAAACAATTGACCTCACTAACAAACGTATATGTTAACAAAATTGCAAAATGTTAACATATACATATAATGATTTACTGGAGTCCTGGAAATGGGAAGTACAATGCCTGCACTTTAAAGGAGGGGTTTGGGACATTGGCAGTTTGGAAGGATATGTTGTGTATCTTTATACGTATATGCTTCTAAACTGTTGTATTCTGAGCGCCTCTGCAAAAACAGTGATTATGTGTGAGTGAGGTGAAAGTGTTGAATGATGATGAAAGTATTTTCTTTTTGGGGATTTTCTTTCTTTTTTGGGTCACCCTGCCTCGGAGGGAGACGGCTGACTTGTTGGTGAGAAAAAAAAAAGTTTCGGCTTATTCAAACTTGATAACACTGTACACAATATGAAGCCAGATTCCTACGTGAACTCGTTGGACTGTTATAAATGCAGTTCTACACTTTACAAATTGAGTAGCACTCAAGGTTCTGCTGCTCCAACTCTCCTCTTGTGGATAAACCAGTATTTACCTAAGGGTGAAGTGGGTCAGCCTCTGGAAATAGGATTGTTTCCCTTGACCTATTTTCTTTTTATGCAAAGGAATTTTTCTACTGACAGATGCCAAATACTTTTGAGATCAGAATATCAAAGTCTTTTATAATGATATGATGTGTTGATGGGTTTTTATATGCTTTCTACTGCTACTGTTTTAATATCCTGCATTTCATCTTTTTGGCACTGGTCTGCTTGATGCCATCTCATTCTAGCTAGTCATTCCCTTGAATGAATCTAACTGGATTTCCTACTCATTTCTGCAACACTGCAAGCTCCTGAAGATGCAATGATTGCAACACGAAAGGCCTAGAGCTATCATTCAGCTTCCTCCATGGTTGTTTTGGATCTTGTATCATGTGTTCATAATTACTGTAAAAGAGGTTTTCTGTTCAAGGGGCTTAGCCATACAGCAGACGTGTGAGCGTGTTACACAGGAGTGAGTGGAGACGAATGGTTTTTGGGACCTGATGAGCTATTGGAGTGTGATCAGGGTAATATTTTGTAAAGGGATTCAGGGAAACCAGTTAGCTGGACTTGAGTCCTGGAGGAAGGAGTTAGTGCCTGCACAATAAAGGAGGGGTTTGGGATATTTGCGGTTTAGTGACATCTAAACTGTCTTATCTGTGTGTGTCTGCAAAGAGTGATAGTGTGAATGATGATTTTTTTTTTGGGGGGGGGACCCTGTCTTGGTGGAAGATGGCCAGTGTGTTGAAAAATATATGTACTTGCCTAATTGTGGTTGCAAGGGTCGAGTCACAGCCCCTGTGTGTGTGTGTGTACTTATATAACTGTTTGTGTGCACAAAATCATGACACTTCAATAATTTGGTACAATAGTTGTTTAGGACTGATTTTGCTCAGTTTCACATGTCCATTTCAACACAAAATTTTTTAAACCAATATATTTTTTATATTACAGAAATTAAATGAAATATAAAAACAGCACAAAGCTGGAGAAACACTGAATGACTGAGGTGACAATGAAATAAGTGAAAGATGATAGAGTAATCAAAAGAAGTACATATAAATGCCAGATTAAATGCACACTGCATTGTTTTTATTACAGGAAGCTTTATAAAAATATTAAACAAAAATATATAAATAAAAGGCTGTTTTCTAATGGACCTTTTTTTTTCTTTTCAGATACAAGACCAAGAACACTTACAGTGAGAAACCAGAGAAAAATTTAAGTTTCAAATGAAAACTTTGCATTACAATTTCCACTCGGTGTCTATTGTTGTAAAATATCGAGTGAATTCAGCGCAAAATGTGTTGTTTATAAAGTAAACATTACTTGCATGTTTTACTAACATTCTTGCCAACTGCACTGTTTCTTTTTTCAAGGTATATTATGCAGGTCTGTCTCAGTAAGACAGTGCAGCTTTGTATAAGAAATATTGCAGTTATTATTTATAAATATTTAAGCTGTTTAAATAACTTTACATTTTACTTTTGTGCCATTACATGCTTTAAAAATGTTGTAAAAAAATATAAAGTGATAAATGGTGTCCAGTTATGAACTGAGGATGCTATGCAACAATTTTTAAATTCTGATAGAGTAATTCATTAAAATTTGAAGCACATCTTTACCTAAAGCTCTTACTTGGTTTTCATTACTGGGCAATTTTATTCAAATGCTGATGGACCTATTCATATCCTACAGCTTTTGTACATTTGTCTAGTCTCATTCCTGAAATAGCTATTTTCCTGTATAAATTAATGCTGCAATAAATCATTAAAAAAAAAAAATTGATACACATTTCGATAATATCTGATGCGACATTAAATTAGATATAGACATGTACAGATTCCTTCTCAATCCGAGTGCAAAAATTTTAAACAAAGGGAAATAAGAGATGAGTACATTTTCCACAATGAGAGATTGGGAAGGATACAAACAATTGCTATTGTTTGGAAGGGAGCTTGAAAATGACAACAGTAAACAGTGCCCCAAAGCATTCCCACACAATATCAAAATGTGATCGATGAGATTACGTGTTACACGTAATCAAATTTAGCACAGTTTTAAAATGTGTGTGTGTGAACTCATGCTGGTACAAACTGGAGATGAAGCTCAGTGACAAAACTATTCTGATTTTAAAAATATGTCATACAAGGCAAAAAGTACAGTTTCATATTCTAAATAATGTACACTGTACTGTTAAAATATGTACAACCAAGAAAATAATATAAACACTCTTTTAAAAAGCAACATACAATGGGCATTCTCTACATAGAAGGCCTAAATATTTTAAGGGAATTCAATGACCACATGTGGAAAAAAAGATGAACACATCTAATCACATCTTCCCATTCTCAGAGTGCATGCACTGCAAAATCCCAACCTCCAAAACTCATGTGCAATTATCCAGTTTCCCAAAGACACTTTAGTACAGCATGTCAAATTGCTTAGACCACTCAATTCCACTCTAAACAGGTTCATGGATAAACCATACCCCCGGCCGGGATTGAACCCGCGGTCATAGAGTCTCAAAACTCCAGCACAATCATGTCATTACGATTTCTTAAGTCAGGTTCATGGATACCTGATGATTATTATTATAAAAATGAAGTGCTAAACCTATGATGGTTAGGATATGTGCTGAAGTTCAAGATCCTACCTCTTAATACTGTCTTCACACCCTCCTCCTGATTCTTCCTAGGATGTTCCCTACATTAGATATATATGATCCCTTCACCAACCTATCCTCCTCCATATCTTCTATGTGACCAAACCATCAAACACTTTTAATTCTACCACATAATCTAATTTCTTCCATTTTACTCTGCACAAAATTCACAACTTATTTAAAACTATAAATATATATATTTTTTTTTTTCAACAAGTCGGCCGTCTCCCACCGAGGCAGGGTGACCCAAAAAAGAAAGAAAATCCCCAAAAAGAAAATGCTTTCATCATCATTCAACACTTTCACCTCACACATAATCACTGTTTTTGCAGAGGTGCTCAGAATACAACAGTTTAGAAGCATACACATATAAAGATACACAACATATCCCTCCAAACTGCCAATATCCCAAACCCCTCCTTTAGAGTGCAGGCATTGTACTTCCCATTTCCAGGACTCAAGTCCGACTATATGAAAATAACCGGTTTCCCTGAATCCCTTCACTAAATATTACCCTGCTCACACTCCAACAAATCGTCAGGTCCCAAGTACCAATTGTCTCCATTCACTCCTATCTAACATGCTCACGCACGCTTGCTGGAAGTCCAAGCCCCTTGCCCACAAAACCTCCTTTACCCCCTCTCTCCAACCCTTTCGAGGACGACCCCTACCTTGCCTTCCTTCCCCTATAGATTTATATGCTTTCCATGTCATTCTACTTTGATCCATTCTCTCTAAATGACCAAACCGCCTCAACAACCCCTCTTCTGCCCTCTGACTAATACTTTTATTAACTCCACACCTTTTCCTAATTTCCACACTCCGAATTTTCTGCATAATATTTACACCACACATTGCCCTTAGACAGGACATCTCCACTGCCTCCAACCGTCTCCTTGCTGCTGCATTTACCACCCAAGCTTCACACCCATATAAGAGTGTTGGTACTACTCTACAGTACTTTCATACATTCCCTTCTTTGCTTCCATAGATAACGTTTTTTGACTCCACATATACCTCAATGCACCACTCACCTTTTTTCCCTCATCAATTCTATGATTAACCTCATCCTTCATAAATCCATCTGCCGACACGTCAACTCCCAAGTATCTGAAAACATTCACTTCTTCCATATTCCTCCTCCCCAATTTGATATCCAATTTTTCTTTATCTAAATCATTTGATACCCTCATCACCTTACTCTTTTCTATGTTCACTTTCAACTTTCTACCTTTACACACATATACATAAATATACATACATGAATACTGGATATACGTATATTAAGCTAGATCAATTTAAATCAAACAATGTATCAACTGCATTTTACATTATAAGTACATTACTACATAACACTTCATTCTTTACTATACTCTCAAGAAGCTGCTGAGCTTCACAGAAAAAATAATGTAACCAAAAGTGTAAGTATTAAGATAAATAAATATTAGATAACATTGGCTCAGGAAAAATCTTGGAGCAATGCGAAGGAAATTCATACACTGTACTGAACTGTACTTGCTACTATTATTTGGTTCCAACCTTTACAAATTTCATGCATCATTTTACTATTGTGATATTAGCAATACTATATTATTCCTCATTTCCATAACCCCATTCAACCCATCATCAATCATGTGTTTGCACAGGGAACTGAGATTCAAAGTTTTTTCATCGTTGGTTACAATTAAAAAAAAAAAAAAATGACCACATCTAATACTGCACTACTTGGATAAGTATTCTTAATACTTTTAATTAAGGATAAATAAGGAATTCACTTTCCACTACTAAAAAAAATTTTTAGTTTTAAATATTTGTTTTGAGGCTTTTTAAACGAAGACTGCATTTTATATATGAGAAATAAAATATAATTTTGTTTTATTTTGTTTCACTGTCCAACAAGCAAAATTGCAAGGATACATTATTAGTAATGTATATTTAACATTCAGATCTTTTATTTTATCACATATTAGCTAGCTTATTCTGCCAAAATCATAAAAATAAAAATGTAATTTGGCAAATGCTATCAGAATACCAACTGAAGGAAATAGGCAGTGACTGCTGGATGATCTTCTATTATTATCATTATTATCACAATATATGAGTCAACTGGCACTGCATGGCCAAGGGATGTTTATGTGAAAATAGGAAGTCATAATTGGTGCAGTAAATCGGTACTGTAATGGTTAAGAAATTGTAAAACAAATATGAGGTGGGTAAAACAAGTATGTCAAGAATACCTTGGCATTTAAGTGATCAGAAAAGTTGACCAGCTCTCTGATAAATGGGACAATCTATAATAGTAGTAACATACTGTCAGGAAGATCAGATAACTTTTACAGTAGCACTGGCTGCCTCTCCAAGAGATGACCAGGTAGGTGAGTATCTGGTGTGATCATTATGCAGTTGGGGAAATATGGTTTTGCAGAACCAAGAGTGATGGAATAATTCGCAAATAACCAGTGTTTAGAAAAGGAAACCTACGACTTTTGGTCCATCCTGGACCATCAAGTCTGTGCTCCTCTGCCACTTGGGGACAGGTGTTAGTGTTGAGTTCCTTTGATCTTGAATGTCTTGAGACTTGATTTACCCTTATTCTGTCACTAGTCCTGCCCAGTGTAGGCCAGTAGGCCTGCTGCACCGCTCCTTTGTTCTTTGGTTCTACAATTATTAATTCTCTTACTACACTCTTACTATTTCTACCCCAAGTGCTACTACTGCTTGGACTTCCAGCAAGCGTGCATGAGCATATTTGATAGGAGTGAATGGAGACAAATAGTTTTTAATACTTGACGTGCTGTTGGAGTGTGAGCAAAGTAACATTTATGAAGGGATTCAGGGAAACCAGCAGGCCGGACTTGAGTCCTGGAGATGGGAAGTACAATGTCTACACTCTGAAGGAGGGGTGTTAATGTTGCAGTTTTATAACTATAGTGTAAAGCACCCCTCTGGCAAGACAGTGATGGAGTGAATGATGATGAAAGTTTTTCTTTTTCGGGCCACCCTGCCTTGGTGAGAATTGGCCGATGTGTTAACAAAAAAATAAAAAATCAACACGGCTACTATTATTACTGCTGCTACTAGTTCTATTAATACAGATGCTACTACCACCACTCCATTTTCTTTCCCCCACTCTTACTATTTCTACCCCAAGTACTTCTACTGCAGCTACCAATATTACTACTAATATCAACAAAGCTACTATTATTACTGCTGCTGCTGCTAGTTCTATTAATACAGCTGCTACTATCACCACTCCTTTCTTTCCCCCACCCTCTTGTCAACTTCTCTTTTAGCCCTCTTTACTTTTCTCACTTAGCCGTGACTTGGCAGTGGTGCAGGATGAATCGAAATGTCATCACAAATTTCCTCTCCTAAATGTGGATTATCTATAAATTATTCCAGCCACAGTATTGTGACCTGCATTCTTCTGCAATAGAATGAGGATGGCCAGAAGCCTAACTGTGGTTCGATTAAAACAGCTTGTTGGTCACTAGCATTACCCAATTACAATACCAGTCTTCACAAGTGCTGAATCAGCCTTGGAAAAATAATAAGTGGAAAGCTTTACACAAGACTGTAGAAGAATTGTGGAATGTGCACAGAAGTCTGCCAGAAGAGCCAGGTAACCCATCAAATATGACCGTCTTGTTTCTTTTAGAAGTTAGTTCATTGCCATGTCAGTCATTTCCTACAAAGGCAGGGTCACCCAGAGAAGGAAACATTTACTATAACTCATTCAACAGATATCTTTCCAAAAGAGGCTAGACATCACAATATAAAAGATCCTCTAAACTGCATAATCTCCCATCTATTCATCAGAGCACAGGCACTGTGTTCTCACCTCCAAAACTCTTACATCTGGCTAACCAGTTCCCCCTCTGATTTCTTTCTTCAGTGTTACTTCACTAATACTCTAACATCACTTCAAATCCCCAAAACCCTTAGTTTCCACTCTGATTTAACATGGTCACACATGCCTAATAAAAGCTCTGGCTGTACCTTTTGATCAACCAATTCTGCCCCATCCTTTCTAAAGGCATATATATCAAGCAAATTTTACAAGTATGCTTTGAAAGAAACAAGTATTTACTATTCATTTAATATAACTGAGTCAGAGGATCGTGAGTGCAGAGCGCAAATTGGAAATCAAGTTTCACAATATGTTTTGTAATACCATATGAGATTGAAACTTATGATGTTTAAGTCCACTTGGACCAAAGTCAGAATGAACATCTTCATAAGTTTGTCTCCTAGATGAAGGTTATCTGTGTATACTCTATAAGCACGGTAAATAATATACCCAGATAACATGTGTAATTAGAGCATTAAGTTTCAATCTCATACAAATGAACTCTCTTATCATCTGCACAAGAAGCAAGAACAAAATGGTTACTGTGTTCAACTGATGGCTTGAACTGCAGACGTCTTACCATACTCTGGTGTTTGTGAAATATTTGTAGCACTTCACCAAACACCATCTCACTAGGACTGTACACTCTTATATTAATGTCTCCACTTACTAGGCCTGAAACAGAGTAGAAGAACTGTAAAATTATCTTTATATATTACACACAAGGCATTATAAAAATATTAATTGTGAGAGGAATGAAGGTTAAGTGCATCAGCTGGCAGAATATTTTGTTCTTTTTTATGCATATTTTATGATTTAAAAAAACTTATGGAAATTTTATTCTCACTTTCAATATCACCCATTATAAATTATTATTATAATCAAAACAAAGCACTAAACCCACCAGGGTCACACAGCCCTGCAGGGTAGGGTGTATGAACTGTGTAATATGTTTGATCTGAAACTAGCAAGTGTGGAGAGTAGAATGGAGGGAGAGTTCATAAGGGCAGTTACACCGCCTATTATGAAGATCCATTAACCGAGGGCACTGTTTTTAACATTTGTTGTCAAGTCCTGCTGAAAATTAATGTCACCACATCCATATTATGAAGTTTTAAGACTGTTATGAAGCCAGACATTAATGCTCAACTAATGGGAGAGAATTTTGTCAGAAATAACTGTTAAGTTCAGCAGTCTTCGCTTGACACTGTTAAATAGAGGGTTTAAAGTGTGTGTTCAGTGTATGTGATGAAATGCTAAGAATTTATTCCATTGATTTGTACCAGTGTCAGTGAAAGAATTCATGGAATTTGTACCAGTGTCAGTGAGAGAATTCATGGAATTCATACTGCTGTCAGTGAGAGAATTAATGGAATTCGTACCAGTGTCAGCGAGAGAATTCATGGGATTTGTACCAGTGTCAGTGAGAGAATTCATGGGATTTTTACCAGTGTCACTGAAAGAATTCATTGGATATGTACCAGTGCCAGTGAGAAAATCCACATACCTATTGCTTCATCCATGATCAGTAAATAATCACCCACTACTGAGTCATCAATGGCTATGATGTACCCACAGAACATTGAATCTCTATTGTAACTTCCCTGCTGACAGCTGAGTATCCAGTGAATACTAAGATTGAAGATTCAGTATTCACTGGATGGCAGTGGTACATATCCCATGAAATTTCTCTCTGGGATATGTAACAGCACCAGTGAGAGGCTTCATGGGATATGTACTAATGATAATGAAAGACTCCATGGGATATATACTAATGCCAGTGAGAGACTTCATGGAATATGTACTAGTGCCAGTAAGAGACATCATGGGCAGTGCAAAATGCTACTAGCACTACCACTCAGTATCATCTAGAGAAAGAGTTTAGATCTAGGAGAAATCCCAGTGAAGACATAAAATTACAAAAAATTACAGACCAGTAGCACAACCATCACAAGTCTTTGTAAAGGTGGTGAGACCCCTAAATTACTAATTATATGAAAAAGCATGACCTACACAACCCAAGTCAACACGGATTTAGAGCAGGAAACATATGCCCGTCACAACCATTAAATCATTATGACCAAATCACAGAAGCTTTGGAGGAAAACCAAAATCCAGATGTAGGCTACATGGACTTAGTTGAGGCTTCTGACAAATGTGATAACAGAGTGATAGATCACACAATGAGGTCAATGGGTACTGTATAACAGAAAAAGTAATGAAATGGGTAATAAATTTTATAATAAACACTATATTTGTTAAAAATTGAAGGAATATTTTAGGATGCTATTGTGTTTGAAAAATCTTAATTATATACATATTTATTGACCCTAAATTAAAAACTATTTAAAACTGTGTCTGGCATCTTCATATTTATTAATAAAAGTGATGCTTGTTTTAACTCATTTACTGGCTGGGTCTACACTGTGTTAAATTCAATATGAAGACTACCTCTCATTATGCTCACTAGGTTTAGGTCCTACTAGTGAACTCAATAGCACAGCTTTACTGTACAGTGGACTCTCCCTTTTCGTCGATCTCCGTTACTGCTGATTTCCGTTTTTGCTGAGTTTTTTTGTCAAAATATTGGTTCCGTTCTTGTCGATTTCCTCTGTTTTCATCGATGGTACGGAACCTGTCCAGTGCCCAGCACACACACAAAGCCGCCTCCCAAATGCATTCTCAGGAAGTGTCGCATTGTTTCTAGGTGAGTGAACATATTCTGCGAGGTCATACCAAACATTTCGTAATAATCCATTGTTTTTGGCACTCGTTTATTGTGCGTGACTGCTAAATAAGCCACCATGGCCCCAAAGAAAGCTCCTAGTGCCAGTCCTTTGGTAAAGAAAGTGAGAAACACTGTAGGAATGAAAAAAAGAAATCGTTCAAAAATATGCAAGTGGCATATGCATTGTTGAACTCGGCAGGCTGTACAGGAAGGCGCCATCAACCATTAGCTCCATTGTGGCGAAGAGAAAAGAAATCACAGAAGCTGATGTTGTGAAAGGGGTGAATGCGATAACGAAACAGAGATCCCAAACAATTGAAGATGTGGAGAAATTGTTGTTGCTATGGATCAAAGAGAAACAGTCAGCATGAGATAGTGTTGTGCAGTTGATAATTTGAGAAAGGCAAGAAAATGCCTGCAATGAGTGCTGATGTTGGTGAATTTAAGGCCAGCAAAGGCTGGTTCGAAAAATTCAAGAAGTGAAGTGGCATACACAGTGTTGTAAGGCATGGTGAGGGTGCCAGTTCAGACAAACATGCAGCTGAAAAATCTGTGCGGGAATTCAAAGACTATGTATAGGCTGAAAAATTCCAACCCTAACAAGTACTCAATTGTGACAAAACAGGCCTGTTTTGGAAGAAAATGCCAAAGAGGACCTACATCACACAAGAGGAAAAGGCACTCCCAGGACACAAGCCTATGAAAGACAGGCTAGCTCTCTTGTTGTGTGGTAATGCTAGTGGGGATTTCAAAGTTAAGCCTTTACTCATGTATCACTCTGAAAATCCCAGTGTGTTCAAGAAAACCAGTGTCTTCAAGAGTAAACTGTGTGTGATGTGGAAGGCTAACAGTAGGGCATGGGTCACGAGGGAAATTTTCCTGGAATGGTTCAATGCAATGTTAGGCCCGAGTGTAAAGAAATACCTCCTGGATAATAAATTGCCACTCCAGTGCCTCCTGTTAATGGACAGCACTCCTGCTCATCCTCCAGACTTGGAAGATCAATTGTCTGAGGAATTCAGTTTTGTAACAGTGAAGTTCTTGCCTCCTAACACCGCTCCTCTCATCCAGCCCATGGACCAACAGATCATTGCAAACTTCAAAAAATTGTACACAAAGCAATGTTTCAAAGGTGCTTTGACATAACCTAGGACTCTGAATTGATCCTAAGAGAGTTCTGAAGGGATTACTTTAATATCTTCTATTGCATAAGCCTTATAGATAAGGCTTGGCAGGGAGTGACTTCCAGGACGATGAACACTGCTTGGAGAAAACTGTGGCCAGATTGTGTCCTCAACAAAGATTTTGAAGGGTTTGAGGCTGACCCTGACAACCCTATGCCAGTTGTGCAATCTATTGTGGCATTGGGGAATTCCATGGGGTTGGATGTGAGTGGCCAGGATGTGGAAGAGTTGGTGGAGGACCACAATCAAGAGCTAACCACTGATGAGCTGCAAGAGCTTCCTCTGCAACAGCAACAGACCACAGCTCAGGAAATTGCTTCAGAGGAGGAGAAAGAGAGATGGAAGAAGGTGCCTTCTTCAGAGATTAAGGAGATTTGTGCAATGTGGACTAGGGTGCATTCATTTGTGGAGGAACATTGCCTTGAGAAAACTGCTGCAATCCGTGCCAGCGACTTTTATAATGACAATGCCATGTCCCATTTTAGGTAAATCTTAAAGAGATGCCAGAAACAGACTCTCAAGTTGGTCCTAGTGGCATTAAAAAACAAAGAAGGGAAGTGACCTCAGATAAGGACTTGGAACATAGAGTCCTTATGGAGGGGGATTCCTCTTCCAAAGAATAACCTCTCTTCCCTCTCCCCTCCTCCCTGTCTTCCATCCACCAACAAGTCTTCAATAAAGGTAAGTTTCATGTTGAATGTTCATTCTTTTGTGCATGTAAATCTAACTTTAAGGTAAAAAAAAAAATTTTTTTGTTAATACTTCTGAGTGTCTGGAATAGATTAATTGGATTTACATTATTTTTGCCGATCTCTCTGGAACGGATTAAACACAAAAACCGAGGGTCCACTGTATTTAACTGTATCTGAAAACATGGAGAATAATTTCAGCAGTGATGTCTGTCCACTAAAGTAGGTTCAAGTAATTTCTTCTTTGAATACTTTACACACATAACATGTACACAAGACACTAAAACCTATGATGATGTTTAGGTCTGTCTTCGACAACTGACTAGTTAATGGTCTAAGTTGGATCAAAACGTCATTATAAAGTTTCAGTCTTCTATGTACAGGTTGTGTGTGAATTATTCTAGTCACGGTATGGTGCCTTTTTCTTTCTTTACCTGGCAATTTTATGAAGGAATTCATTGAACCCCGTGAGAAGGGCAGTGCTTGCACTTTGAAGGAGGGGTGAGGATGCTGCAGTTAGAGGGTAATCAAAATTGTGATATCATCACATTTCTGGCAACACTCTGAATGAATGATGGTGCCTTGGCGGGGAACAGTTGCTGAGGTTAAAATATAAATCCTCTTCCAGCTTTTCTTTACCTCTAAACAAATGAACACATCTCATCATCAGATGATGTGTAATTAAAAACTATCTTCAGAATTTTTTTTTTTTTTTTTTCAACAAGTCGGCCGTCTCCCACCGAGGCAGGGTGACCCAAAAAAAGAAAGAAAATCCCCAAAAAGAAAATACTTTCATCATCATTCAACACTTTCACCACACTCGCACATTATCACTGTTTTTGCAGAGGTGCTCAGAATACAACAGTCTAGAAGCATACACATATAAAGATACACAACATATCCCTCCAAACTGCCAATATCCCAAACCCCTCCTTTAAAGTGCAGGCATTGTACTTCCCATTTCCAGGACTCAAGTCCGACTATATGAAAATAACCGGTTTCCCTGAATCCCTTCACTAAATATTACCCTGCTCACACTCCAACAGATCGTCAGGTCCCAAGTACCATTCGTCTCCATTCACTCCTATCTAACACGCTCATGCACGCTTGCTGGAAGTCCAAGCCCCTTGCCCACAAAACCTCCTTTACCCCTTCTCTCCAACCCTTTCGAGGACGACCCCCTACCCCGCCTTCCTTCCCCTATAGATTTATATGCTTTCCATGTCATTCTACTTTGATCCATTCTCTCTAAATGACCAAACCACCTCAACAACCCCTCTTCTGCCCTCTGACTAATACTTTTATTAACTCCACACCTTCTCCTAATTTCCACACATCCGAATTTTCTGCATAATATTTACACCACACATTGCCCTTAAACAGGACATCTCCACTGCCTCCAACCGTCTCCTCGCTGCTGCATTTACCACCCAAGCTTCACACCCATATACATTCCCTTCTTTGCCTCCATAGATAACGTTTTTTGACTCCACATATACCTCAATGCACCACTCACCTTTTTTCCCTCATCAATTCTATGATTAACCTCATCCTTCATAAATCCATCCGCCGACACGTCAACTCCCAAGTATCTGAAAACATTCACTTCTTCCATACTCCTCCTCCCCAATTTGATATCCAATTTTTCTTTATCTAAATCATTTGACACCCTCATCACCTTACTCTTTTCTATGTTCACTTTCAACTTTCTACCTTTACACACATTCCCAAACTCATCCACTAACCTTTGCAATTTTTCTTTAGAATCTCCCATAAGCACAGTATCATCAGCAAAAAATAACTGTGTCAATTCCCATTTGAATTTGATTCCCCAATATTAATCCCACCCCTCTCCCGAACACCCTAGCATTTACTTCCTTTACAACCCCATCTATAAATATATTAAACAACCATGGTGACATTACACATCCCTGTCTAAGACCTACTTTTACCGGGAAGTAGTCTCCCTCTCTTCTACACACAGCATTTAATAACTTACCACCTATTCCATATACTTGCAACATCTGCCACATTGCTCCTCTATCCACTCTATCATATGCCTTTTCTAAATCCATAAATGCAATAAAAACTTCCCTATCTTTATCTAAATACTGTTCACATATATGCTTCAATGTAAACACCTGATCTACACATCCCCTACCCACTCTGAAACCTCCTTGCTCATCCGCAATCCTACATTCTGTCTTATCTCTAATTCTTTCAATTATAACCCTACCGTACACTTTTCCTGGTATACTCAGTAAGCTTATTCCTCTATAATTTTACAGTCTCTTTTGTCCCCTTTCCCTTTATATAAAGGGACTATACATGCTCTCCGCCAATCCCTAGTACCTTCCCCTCTTTCATACATTTATTAAACAAAAGTACCAACCACTCCAACACTATATCCCCCCCTGCTTTTAACATTTCTGTCATGATCCCATCAGTTCCAGCTGCTTTAACCCCCTTTCATTTTACGTAATGCCTCACGTACCTCCCCCACACTTACATTCTGCTCTTCTCACTCCTAAAAGATGGTATACCTCCCTGACCAGTGCATGAAATTACTGCCTCTGTTTCTTCCTTAACATTTAAAAGTTCCTCAAAATATTCTCTGCCATCTACCCAATACCTCCATCTCCCCATCTACTAACTCCCCTACTCTGTTTTTAACTGACAAATCCATATTTTCCCTAGGCTTTCTTAACTTGTTTAACTCACTCCAAAATTTTTTCTTATTTTCATTAAAATTTCTTGACAGTGCCTCTCCCACTCTATCATTGCTCCCCTTTTTGGGCACTCTCTCACCACTCTCTTTACCTTTTTTTTACTCTCCATATACTCTGCTCTTCTTATAACACTTTCTTTGTAAAAACCTCTCATAAGCTAACCTTTTTCTCTTTTATCACACCCTTTACTTCATCATTCCACCAATCATTTCCCTCTTTCCCTCCTGCCCCCACCCTCCTATAACCACAAACTTCTGCCCCACATTCTAATACTGCATTTTTAAACTATTCCAACCCTCTTCAACCCCCCCACTACTCATCTTTGCACTAGCCCACCTTTCTGCCAATAGTCGCTTATATCTCACCCGAACTTCCTCCTCCCTTAGTTTATACACTTTCACCTCCCTCTTACTTGTTGTTGCCACCTTCCTCTTTTCCCATCTACCTGTTACTCTAACTGTAGCTACAACTAAATAATGATCCGATATATCAGTTGCCCCTCTATAAACATGTACATCCTGGAGCCTACCCATGAACCTTTTATCCACCAATACATAATCTAATAAACTACTTTCATTACGTGCTACATCATACCTTGTATATATATATATATATAGGTAGTAGGTTGGTAGACAGCAACCACCCAGGGAGGTACTACCGTCCTGCCAAGTGAGTGTAAAATGAAAGCCTGTGATTGTTTTACATGATGGTAGGATTGCTGATGTCTTTTGTCTGTCTCATAAATATGCAAGATTACAGGCATGTCTTGCTACTTCTACTTACACTTAGGTCACACTACACATACATGTACACATTTATTTATACACACTCATCTGAGTTTTCTTTGATTTTATCTTAATAGTTCTTGGTCTTATTAATTTTCCTTTTATATCCATGGGGAAGTGGAATAAGAATCTTTCCTCCGTAAGCCATGCGTGTTGTAAAAGTCAACTAAAATGCCGGGAAAAATGGGCTAGTAACCCCTTTTCCTGTAAAGATTACTAAAAAGAATAAGAAGAAGAAAATTGTCAAAGTGGGAAGTCTGAATTTTGCGTGGATGTTGTGCAGATGATAAGAAAGAGATGATTGTGGATGTTATGAATGAGAAGAAGCTGGATGTCCTGGTTTTAAAAGTGAAACAAAGCTGAAGGGGGTGGGAGTTTCAGTGGAGAGGAATAAATGGGATTAGGTCAGGGGTTTCAAATAGAGTTAGAGCTAAAGAAGGAGTAGCAATAATGTTGAAGGATAAGCTTTTGGCAGGAAAAGAGGGACTATAAATGTATTAATTCAAGGATTATGTGGAGGTAAAATAAAGATTGGATGTGAAAAGTGGGTTATAATAAGCGTGTATGCACCTGGAGAAGAGAGAAGTGTAGAGGAGAGAGAGAGATTTTGGGAAATGTTGAGTGAATGCCTGGGGAGTTTTGAATCAAGTGTGAGAGTAATGGTGGTTGGGGATTTCAATGCTAAAGTGGGTAAAAATGTTATGGAGGGAGTAGTAGGTAAATTTGGGGTGCCAGGGGTAAATGTAAATGGGGAGCCTTTAATTGAGCTATGTATAGAAAGAAATTTGGTAATAAGTAATACATATTTTATGAAAAAGAGGATAAATAAATATACTTCAGAAAATATGTACAACAAATTCATGTAAGATTCTTTATGACCATGAAAGAAGAAAACAGAGGTAACTTTATTGTAATACCTAACACAGTAGCAGTATGATTATTGTATTGTGATTATTATCTGCATCATTCCAATGTCAGTTCTATAATTGTTTTTCAACACGTCGGCCATTTCCCACCGAGGCAGGGTGACCCAAAAAAAGAAACACTTTCATCATCAGTCACACATAATCACTGTGTCTGCAGAAGTGCTCAGATATGACAGTTCAGATGTCACTCCAAACAACATATATCCCATACCCTTCCTTTAAAGTGCAGGCATTGTACTTCCCACCTCCAGGACTCAAGTCTAGTTAACCAGCCTCCCTGAATTCCTTCGCAAAATATTATTACCCTGTCTACAATGATGGTATCAATTATTATTATGATCATGGGGGAGTGCTAAACCCGTAGGATTATACAGCACATGTGGGGGGGGGATGGAAGGTATCCTGGCTCAGTTCAGGGAACTGGAGCATAGATCCAATTCCCTAGATCAAAAGCCCCTCACCAGCATCAAGGAATCTTCCTTGAGGGGGATGGAATCAATATAAGTACTGGTGGGTGTTGGCTAAGTCTGATGGTATCAGTATGAGCCTAAAAAAATGAGCATCTGTATTATTCTTCTTTCTTTCTTTCAACACACTGGCTGTATCCCACTGAGGCAGGGTGGCCCAAAAGGAAAAACAAAAGTTTCTCCTTTTACATTTGGTAATATATGCAGGAGAAGGGGTTACTAGCCCCTTGCCCCTGGCATTTTAGTTGCCTCTTACAACACGCATGGCTTACGGAGGAAGAATTCTGTTCCACTTCCCATGGAGATAAGAGGAAATAAACAAGAACAAGAACTAGAAAGAAAATAGCAGAAAACCCAGAGGTGTGTGTATATATACACTTGTACATGTGTGTGTAGTGTGACCTAAGTGTACGTAGAAGTAGCAAGACATACCTGTAATCTTGCATATTTATGAGACAGACAAAAGACACCAGCAATCCTACCATCATGTAAAACAATTACAGGCTTTCATTTCACACTCACTTGGCAGGACGGTAGTACCCCGCTGGATGGTTGCTGTCTACCAACCTACTACCTAATCTGTATTATTATAAGCCAAAAATTTTGGTATCATCCCATCCTTAGCTATGAATCCAGTAAAAGCTTCTGTGTTACATAAATTTTTTGCTTGTCAATTGACTGTTGAGTAAACATTGCTTACACCAATAAACTGTGATAATCTTATTGAAGATATAACTAACAAATCTTATGTGAATGCATTATAAAAAATGTTCCTGTATGTATTTCTTAGCAATGAAAGACACATGATTCCAAGCATAATAAGAGAGATTTTAAAAACTTTTGGCTTACCAGTTGCCACAAGGACACCATCTGTTTCTTTGTCAATATTTCTGGAGACTGCTACTGCTGTCACTTCATTGGACTCGCTTAGAAAAGCCTGTTTAACCCAGGCAGTTTCAGTGTGACCCCACACTGCAACAGTCTTGTCGCGTGACGCAGTGACAAAGTGATGGGAATCTGGCAGCCAGGCACATGACCATATTACACGGGCATGCATGGTATCTTTTTTGTTTGAAAAATCGCATACCTCATAAGTAAAACCTGAAAAAATATATGAAGTTTAATGCAAAAGTTTATGTATCAATACAACTGCAACGAATACTGTGCCTCAAAGAAAATACGTGCATTTCCTGAAAAGTCCTGCTTATCCAGATAGTAATATCTAAATTTCTCATTTATATAGAATTTGGAATATTCAATCATTTAAACATTATCCAATAATTTTGCCCATCTGCAAATTGTTAAGCATTCAATCTTACATCAATTATTCAACCTATCTTCATGGGAAAATAATAATAACAGCAATTTACTCAACTGTATTTAAGCTGTTCTGTACAAGAAGTTATCAACTTGAGAATTTTCAATTAACTTTCATGTACAGCCAACACACCAGTAGGCAACATGCTCAAAAATTTCAAATAAACTAATTTCAAAGAACATCTTCCAACATTTTACCAGTCATTACCCAGCACTGGGCAGATGTCACAACAATCAAAAACTCTAATTACAGACAACACTATGCCCTTATTTAAGTCTCTAAATCAAGTAAATATCAATACAGTTTCAAGAGCAAGGCACTAATAATCCCTTCTCCTGTATAAATTACTATAAGTAAAAAGAAAAACTTTTGTCTTTTTCTTTTTATCGGTCACTTTGCCTTGGCGGGAGATAGCTGGCGTGTTTAAAAACTAAATATTATTCATACACACTACTGTTCACTTGGCAACCTCAGAACACTGCAGTATAATGCTGATGCTCATATAAGACATTTCCTGTAAATTTTTACTGGAGCACAGCCATCACACTAAACAATTACCTCCTTGATATCCTTTTTGTTCATTTGAATTTCTTTTGATATTCAAACACAAAGGGTCAAAAAACATGTTGAATAACTTTTCAGAGGAATTAAAAAACTGCAACATACTTATGGATGACATATTAGAGCTAAAGTAAGTACTGCATGATTATACTGTATACTCCTATCATTTATGAGCTGTCATTTAAAATTAAAATTAATTAACAATCTATAATTCTAAATTAATCTTTAATTGAAATTTCATAGATTACCATTCAACCTTTGCCAACTTGTCAATAAAATTTTTTATTTTTAGCAAATAATCTTGTAGTTTATGCATTAAATATTAATTTTAACTTCCTGTCAATATCTTATACTAGACACATAAGTATACAAAGTTTCACAACTACAGCAGGACTCCTGTATCTGGTTTACCATGGCCCAAAAATAACCCTTAATTTTGCATGATAATGGCCTCAAAGTGCAAAAGTAGTGATGGTGGAAGTTCCTCAAAGCCTAAGAGAAGCCATTAAGTGCTTCCCATCAGTGAAAAAATGATAATTCTCCACTTATTGTGCATAATTTATCAATTAAACTTCATAATAGGCATGCATGTAAAAGAAAAATGACATATCTATATAGGTTCACTACTATCTGTGGTTTCAGTATCTGTGGCAGGTCCTTGGAAAGTATCCCCTGCAGATACTGGGATCCTACTGTATAATCTTCTAGTGTTCGGTCTAGGTCCAAGTTTGCCTGAAGTGCTGTACATATTGTGAGTTTTCAATTTTTTTTTTTCAACACACTGGCCATCTCCCACCAAGGCAAGGTGACCCAAAACAACAAGAAACATTTCCTTTTACATATACAGTGGACCCCCGGTTAACGATATTTTTTCACTCCAGAAGTATGTTCAGGTGCCAGTACTGACCGAATTTGTTCCCATAAGGAATATTGTGAAGTAGATTAGTCCATTTCAGACCCCCAAACATACACGTACAAACACACTTACATAAATACACTTACATAATTGGTCGCATTCGGAGGTGATCGTTATGCGGGGGTCCACTGTACTAGTAATTTATATAGGAGAAGGGGTTACTAGCTCCTTGCTCCAGGCACTTTAGTCACCTCTGACAACAAGCATGGCTTACGAGGAAGGATTCTTCACCATTTTCCCAAGGCGAGTTTTCAAATTACTGTACAGTACTATGTATATTTATGTACTATAATGAATTAAATTTCTCCATGGGGAAGTGGAAAAGAATTCTTCCTCCATAAGCCACGTTGTAAGAGGGGACTAAAATGCCGGGAGCAAGGGGTGAGTAACTCCTTCTCCTGTATAAATTACAGCCTCTCCTCACTTAGTGATGTACTTGTTTACCGATGCCTTGGACATACAACGGGTTTTCTGACCAGTATTCATACCTAAATAATGTATATTAGAGCTGATTTCCTCTATTCTTTTTATTTTAATATACTGTACACTACTATATAAACATTTAAAAATATACAAGAAATGTTATAAATGGTGCATAGGTGACATTAAAACAATATCAAAGCTGGTTGACACAAACTCACTACCACTAGAGTATGCTTCTCACTTAGCGATGAATTCGTTTAATGACATGGTCTTAGGAACAGAACTCTATTGTTAAGTGAGGCGAGGCTGTACTAAATTTAATAAGAAAAACTTTCGTTTTAGGTGTGATACGGCCAGTGTGTTAAAAAAAAATGCTCATGTTGAAAAAAAAATATGTTCACATGATCTGAAAACTTCATTAATGTTCTGGTGTAACAGGCATGACTTCTGCAACTTAGACAAACTTTTACACCATAATACATAATGCAACTTCACACCTTATCTAAACAAATTTTTCTGCTTGACTTTCTAGTGAAGAAAAACAATTCTAACCCACATTTTGTGTGAGAGCTTACTGATATATACATCATAATTTTAGCACAGAATTCATCATACAGTTTATTAATAGTAACTACCTGATATAATTTAATAAAATGTTCACACCCAAAAATGCAGTTTATTTAAAAGTTGATATTATACCAATACAAAGCAGATAATGCAAAGTTTCTGTAGCTTGTCATAAGTTACAGCCACTGATGATATTAAGCAGACTCCAGGGTTGCCAAAACTAAGACACACAGATAATGGATATTGCAGTAAATACTCAAGTGATCAATGAGTTAACTACACTGATGTAATACAAATAATACTACAATGTACAGTAATATTACCTGTGCTATTTTCAGCTGATTTTTTCTTAAAGACTGTCCAGGTACGATCGCGTGATACAGACAGAAGATATTCATCATCTGGAGAGAAGGCCATCTGTGTAACAGTCAGACGATGTTTGGCTAAAACATCCACTTTGTGCCAAGTTGTTGTATGCCTGAAATGATGTGTAATATCAACTACTTGTTTATTACAAGGAGTAATTTCTTGTAACAATGTTCTTTGTAACAGCCATTAGTATTACTACTCCCAACCATACCAGTGTCAACAGTTTGGCTGCAGATACAAGTTAAATATTTACATGTTAACATAATAAATATGACTGTAGGACTGGGGGCCTGTCTGAGCTTGGCACCAATTTTGATGCAGAATGTTTGAAGCCAAGTAGTTTTCTTTTACAAAGGAAAACTAAAAAAATGTACAGAAGTGCCCCCGTTTGTATAGCCCTTAGGTTGAAATTAAGACACATGTGAAACATCTGGGTATCTTTATTGTAGACGTTTCACCATCCAGTGGCTTTATCAATGCAAATTCCAGGACATAACTTGAAGATAGTAGAACTATGTGCAGAAGATGAGGTAATCAGTCCTTCAACCTTGGAGTAGGTGCGAAGAGCACCGTAATCGTGGAGATTCTGAAGCAGAAGCAAGGCGCCTGACGTTTATAAACTAACATCAGGCGCCTTGCTTCTGCTTCAGAATCTCCACGATTACGGTGCTCTTCGCACCTACTCCAAGGTTGAGGGACTGATTACCTCATCTTCTGCACATAGTTCTACTATCTTCAAGTTATGTCCTGGAATTTGTATTGATAAAGCCACTGGATGGCGAAACGTCTACAATAAAGATACCCAGATGTTGCACATGTGTCTTCATTTCATCTTGTCGGTATTGTATATCATTCTTGTACAGCCCTTAGGTTGTCAACCCCACATGATAAGTGAAAATCGCTGGCAGGTAGAAAAGAGCGTCTTTTTTATTGTAAAAGGACACAAGTGCAACTAATGTGACATTTTATTGTGGCAACATTTCGTTCTCCAGGAGCTTTGTCACATTAGTTGCATTTGTGTCCTTTTACTTTACATATTGTCGGTAATTCTACCAACATTATTACAGTCTTTTTTATTACTGAACGTGTCTAAAATGCTTGATAGCATGTATGTATATAGTATCTTATGTTAGGTGCTCAATAAAACTAGGCAAAAAACATAAAAAAAGTAAAATAAATACAGTGGTACCTTGACTTACAAGTTTAATTCATTCCATGGCCGAGCTTGTAACTCAATTTGCTCGTATATCAAATCAATCTTCCTTGTCGAGATTAATTGAAATGACATTAATCCGTTCCAGTCCCCAGAAAAACCACCCCAATTTTCTTGTTATGGGTTTTTAAATAAGAAAGTGTATTTAAAATAAGAAATAGTGTATAAAAACATAAAAAAATAATAAAAGAGAATGTAAAGAAATAAATTGGTTTTATAAAGTGCATTTACCTTGGAGATCAGACGACTTGGGCTAATGGAATATGCTGGCAGAGGTGGAGGGTGGAAAAGATAAGCAGAGGAGATTGGAGGAGTTCGTTTTGTTTCGTGGTTTTTCGGTCGCTTTTGCTTGTCATAAACTCTATTGCTTACTTGCTACACTCTTAATGCTACACTTTCTACTCTCTTAATGCTACACTTGCTACACTCTTAATACTACACTTTATTTCTGAACTTAATTGCTACTATTTTCCTTCTGCTTTAGTATGGTACATATCGTAGAAGTCCTACGCTCGTACTGCCTCTCCAAGTCGACTACATGCACACCTCGCTCATGTTTTTCTATGATTTCATGCTTTAATTCAATGGACATAATCCTCCTCTTCTTCTCAGCACTGCCCTTTGCACTTACTTTCTTAGGACCCATGGTTAAAAAAAAGAAATTTGATAAAATAACTGCACAAAAAGCACAAAACACAAGCACAACACGAGAGATGCTTCCATGGCGAGGTAACCACGTGCACTGAACGTGAGATGTGGGATGCTGGGTGAATTTTGTGGCGTTCGCTGTGCCAACTAGCGGTGGTGAATCTGAAGCTTGCTCATAACTCAAATTTTCGCTCACAACTTAAAGCAAAAAATCGACCGAGCAATGGCTCGTAACTTGGAAAACTCGTAAGTACCTTGTAAATCAAGGTACCACTGTACACAGTACATATAATACTTACCTTAAAATGAGCCGGTCGCACCTATCTATGCAACGTTTGTAAAATGGTGGAAAAGTGTAAAAGCACCAAACATAATGAACACTGCTCAACTAAGCCAATGAAATGTGGAACACTGAAAAGCGTGCTGTGATGTGATACCCTTCTGTACTGTCTTACAATATTTTAAGGCATAACGAAGACTCCTTAGCATCCATCAGTCTGAATATGACCTTGGTAATATCCTTCAGCTAATAGAGGACAGAATACTGTGACCTAGCAAAATTACTCAGAGATCTGGCAAAAAAATACACACACAATAAGAATATCCAAGACATTATGTTCAGTCAAGAAAACAAGTTCATATAATAGCAATGTAAGGATGTAGCATCAACCGGCCGCTTGCTCTATAATTACAAAATCCAGATTTGTTATTTTGTTTGAGGAAGATCACCAAGTCTACTATTGAAGTACAGAGTCTAGATTCCTTAGTATTTATGAAATTAATGGCATTTTTCATTTTAATTTTTGTCAGAAAATATTTCTCTTTTCTAAAATTGAGCTACTTCAGGTACATAGCCTAAAATATCATCTGGAATTAATTTTTATCCATTTTTTTTAATTTTGCATTAATCCACATTGAAAGCTTTTGTCAAGGAAATGTTAATGTTTTACAGTTAAAATAAAAATAAATTCTTATTGTATATAATTGCAAAAGCACATGTTGCAAGCTAAATCTTGCTATATCTAACTTAAGTAGTCTGTAAGAGAGATAAGATATATAAGATAACACAAGAAAGTCATTGCATCATTGAGAACTGTCTGTCTTATTTCCACTAGGGTCTTTAAATCTTGTCCCCCAGGATGCGACCCACACCAGTCAACTTACACCCAGGTATCTACTTGCCTGCTAGGTGAACGGGACAGCCCAATGTTTCCACCCCTGCCAGGGATTGAACCATGGACACTCAGTGTGTGAGGTGAGAGCATTGCCTACCAGGCCACAGGACACCATAAGCATTAGGATTAGTCTGACAGAAATGCATAGGTGTGCTAGTGGCTTTCTTTGTGCTTAACAATATTTATTATGTGTAAACTACACACTGTATACTACACAAAGAAATAAAGTTGTTGTTTCATTAAATTTATCAACATTTCCTTTCAAGAGAGCCCTATTTATAACATCTACATTTTTTGTTTTGCATCAAGTCGGCCATCTCCCACCGAGGCAGGGTAACCCAAAAAGAAAGAAAATCCCCAAAAAGAAAATACTTTCATCTTCATTCAACACTTCGACCTCACTCACATAATCACTGTCTTTACAGAGGTGCCAAGAATAAAACAGCTTAGAAGCATATACATGTACGTATAAAGATACATAACATATCCCTCCAAACTGCCAATATCCCGAACCCCTCCTTTAGAGTGCAAGCATTGTACTTCCCATTTCCAGGACTCAAGACCGGCTATATAAAAAAAACCAGTTTCCCTGAATCCCTTCACTAAATATTACCCTGCTCACACTCCAACAGCTCGTCAGGTCCCTAATACCATTGTCTCCATTCACTCCTATCTAACACGCTCATGCACGCTTGCTGGAAGTCCAAGCCCCTCGCCCACAAAACCCCCTTCACCCCGTCCCTCAAACCTTTTCGAGGACGACCCCGAGGATGACCCCTACCCCGCCTTCCTTCCCCTACAGAATTATATGCTCTCCATGTCATTCTACTTTGATCCATTCTCTCTAAATGACCAAACCACATCAACAACCCCTCTACAGCCCTCTGACTAATACACTTTTATTAACTCCACACCTTTTCCTACACATACACACATTGCCCTTAGACAGGACATCTCCACTGCCTCCAACCCCCTCCTTGCTGCAGCATTTACAACCCAAGCTTCACACCATAAGACTTTTAGTACTACTATACTTTCATACATTCCCTTCCTTGCCTCCATAGATAACATTTTTTGTCTCCACATATTCCTTAACGCACCACTCACCTTTTTTCCCTCATCAATTCTATGATTAACCTCATCCTTCATAAGTCCATCCGCCGACACGTCAACTCCCTAATATCTGAAAACATCCACTTCTTCCATACTCCTCCTCCCCAATTTGATATCCAATTTTTCTTTATCTAAATCATTTGATACCCTCATCACATTACTCTTTTCAATGTTCACTTTCAACTTTCTACCTTTACACACACTCCCAAACTCGTCCACTAACCTTTGCAATTTTTCTTTAGAATCTCCCATATGCACAGTATCAACAGCAAAAATCAACTGTGTCAATTCCCATTTTGTATTTCATTCCCCGTAATTTAATCCCACCCCTCTCCCGAACAACCTAGCATTTACTTCTTTTACAACCCCATCTAATAAATATATCAACCCTTTCAGGGTTTCAGACGTACTAGTACGGCTTACGCACCAGGGTTTTTGGCGTACTAATACGCCTAAATTCTAGCGCCCCCAAATCTAGTGAGAGAAAGCTGGTAGGCCTACATATGAAAGAATGGGTCTATGTGGTCAGTGTGCGCAGTATAAAAAAAATCCTGCAGCACACAGTGCGTAATGAGAAAAAAAAAAACTTTGACCGTGTTTTTGGATTAAACCAGCGATTTTGCACTGTATTTTCATATGGCATTTATTGTTGTATTCTAGTTTTCCTGGTCACATTTTATAGAATGGAAGACATATTACAGAAATTGAGATGATTTTGACTGGTTTTACAATGAAAAGTACCTTGAAATTGAGCTCAAAATAGCAGAAATGTTCGATTTTTGCCAAAGTTCAAAAGTAAACAAATCATGCTATGTGTCCAATACACATCAACTGGTGAGTCTAATATTCTTTCACAAGTGCGCTGATATTATCTATACCATTTCTACACTATTGCAGTAGTCTGAATAACAGCAATCTTCTAATTTTTTGCGAGAATAAAAATTCAAAGTGGAAAGCAAA